TAATTTTTTTATAAAGATAATAATTAATTATTTTCTTAAAACTCGATAATTATTTTAATTATATTTTAGATTTTTTATATTTTAAAATGAGATGTTTATCATATATTTGATTATGTTTATCCGCAGTTACTTACACGAATTCAAACATGGAGCTTTAATAAGTTGTACTTGTGCATAATTTATTTGTAATCTGAAATTTTAAGTAATATGCATAAATATACGGAACTTCATACATAAAAAATAGTTTTTATCAAATATTTTATAATATAGTATAGATATATTTAAATAAAACATAACAAAAAGACAAAAAAGATAAAAGAACAAAAAGATTGCATAAGATATTTGATAAATAGATGATATTTAACCAGGATGGTGATTGATTGGTTTGAGCTTGGTTTTAAAGGTCAAAAGTATTAGGAGGTCTCATGTTTAAATTCAAAGAGAAATAAAAATCCTCTTGTGGCCACGGAGGTTCAAATACGATGACTTTGGGTTATCTATAAAGTAGGTGGTCATTCTGGAATTAGTCGGCTTACGTGACGAGTTAGATATCCAAGTTAATCAAAAAAATAAAATAAAAAAAATAATAATAATTAATCGAAGATTATCCAGTTACCAAAGTTTGAACTTTCTACTCAAAATATCATATCATCCCCATCATTCGATTCTTTCTCATAAATCCACAGCAGGCGGCTGAGAGATCGGAGGAGGAGAGAATTATGGCGGATCTGTTCTTGAAACAAGCAGAGCAATACTTGGAGGCGCGACCAGGTTATCCACAAGAGCTGTTCGATTTCATCGCCAGCAAGACGCCTAGCCATGACSTTGTTTGGGACGTCGGCACCGGAAGCGGTCAGGCGGCAGTTTCCGTAAGTTCTTCATACTGCTACTATTTCTGGATCTCTTACTTTACATCGGAAATTTTCAAATTAATTATTCATATTTCGAAGTTCTAGTAAGAATCATCGCTATTTGTTACGAGTGAATGAGTTTTTTTTTTTTTTGACGATCGTACATGTTCATCGCAGCTTGCGAGCATATACACGAAGGTAATTGGCACAGATACAAGCAACAAACAACTAGAATTTGCTCCAAAGCTCCCCAACGTTCGTTACCTCTGTACTTCCCCCAATATTTCTCCGTCTGAATTAGAACAGATCGGTACAGAATCAAGTGTTGATTTAGTTACAGTAGCTCAAGCTCTCCACTGGTTTGATAACGAGACCTTCTATGATCACGTCAAGTGGATACTGAAAAAACCAAACGGTGTTATTGCAGCATGGTGCTATACCATGCCAGAATTTGACGATCAATTCGATCCAATTTTCAAAAAGTTCTACTCAGAATCAAAACCTTATTGGGATCTGTTGCGTGGATTGGTGGATGACAAGTATACGACCATCAAATTCCCATTCAAAGCTGTGGATGGATGCAATCACACAGGTCCATTTGAGTTCCAATCCAAGAAGTTGATGAGTTTAGATGAGTTCTTTACGTACATTAGGTCATGGTCAGCTTACCAAACTGCAAAGGAGAAAGGCGTAGAGCTGTTGAATGATGGCGTGATCGAGGAGTTCACTAGAGCTTGGAATGGAGATGAAAATGGACGTAAGTGTGTTACGTATCCGGTCTATCTAAGGATCGGCAAAGTCTGAGATTTGGTCTAGATACCTGATTTGGCTTAATCTGGTTTATCGAACACCACCATACTACASTATCTAACCATTTGGTAATTTAATGTACTTTGAAAATGTATTATTGAAATAATGTCTCCTTGAACTCGTAATTTAAGGGGCTGTTTGTTTACCTCTTAGGCAGATTTTGAATCATTAAGAGGTGAATTTTATTTGGCAAAAAAATATATGTTTCTTAATAGTTCTAAAACCCTATGAATGATTTTGTATTTTGGGTCTTTAGTGCCATGATTTCATTATAAACAATTACCAAATAATTATATTTTATTACTATATCATGATAGTCTCTTAATTATTCTAACCACTTAATCATTCTGCATCGAACCATTTAACAACTACCAAATAGCCCCTAAATRTATATTTTGAAATAATGTTTGAGAATGCAATATTTTTTCTTTGGTAAGATTAAAATTCGAATTTGAAATCTTCTCAAACCTAAAAGCGTATTAAATTCCAAATTTGACTTTGTGAAATGGAATTCAATTTACAATTCGATTTTTCGTTCTAATTTGACTTTTATTCAAACAAAACAAGACATGAGATTGAACAGTAAGTTAGAGAAACTCAAATTGAAACCAACATCTCGATATTGTTTCCTCTTAATAGAAGTTTTCAAATTTACGATGTAAAAAAAGATCTAATTCAATTAGAAATTAAAAAACTGAACAGTAAATTGATATTAGATTGAATCGAATTTAATAAATTTAACATATAAATTGGATCTGTTGGTTTTTTAAATGGTAATCCATAAACTGAACTGATCCAATTCAATCAATAAATATAACGTCACTATTTGGCATGTAGGGCTGTAAACGAACCGAACGAACACGAACGGAGGCTTGTTCATGTTCGTTTAACTTAACCGAACAAACAAACGAACACGAACGGTAAACGAACGAAAATCTTTGTGTTCGTGTTCGTTCGTTTAGAAATCAGGTATGTTCGTGTAAGTTTATGTTCGTTCGTTTACATGCTAAACGAACGAACACAAACGAATGAGCTAAACGAACGGGCTAAACGAACATAAATAAATATTATTTGAATTCAAAGTAAATAAATAAAAGATTATATATTAAATTTGATATATAAACAAACATAAACGAACGGTAAGTAAACGAACTTTCACGAACATAAATGAACGAACGAGACTCTTATTCATGTTCGTTGGTTTAACTAAACGAACAAAAAAATTTGTTCATGTTCGTTCATTTATTAAATAAACRAACATAAACGAATTTATCGCTGAACGGTTTGCTGAACGTTCAATTCATTTACAGCCTTAATGACATGTATAAATGTAGGCGATTTGTCAACTGTGTTTTTTTAACTTCTTTTTATATGTATTATATCGTGTTAAATTAAAAATATGTAAAATTATTTGACAAAACAACTTTTTCAAGTCACAAGTTATTACCTATCTCAGGGACGGACCTGTGTTGGTGATATAGGTGGCACGTGCCACCATATTATTCCTTCGTCGAAAGGTAAACAAATTTAGGTTCGTGAAAGGTGTAACTGTATTAATTTGTTGTGTGCCACCGTATGTATTTTGAAACCACAATGAGAACAAGTTTTATTTGGTAGAGTTGGTTTGCAAGACTTTTATTTCACCTCAGACCCAAGCTCGAATCCTGTTAGTGTCGTTTTCTTAGTCAAATATTGCCATCGTTTGAAAAAAAAATTATATATTTTTTATAGTCAAATGATGCCACCATTTAAAAAAATAAAATAATAGGGAAGTGGGATGTTGGGACTGGTGGACATTGATGGAGAACAAGGTGTATCTGTATATATATATATAGGGGGCTATTCAAGGGAGAACTGAGTTGTTTGTGGTAACTGTGAGAACCAATATTAACCACAAATCAATAGATAAATTAG